GGGGTGGTTATCCACGACGCGGGCCTCGCGGCACGGCGGCGGCGGCAGCATCTTGTAGTCCTGGACGCCGCTCGGCGAGTGAGGCCCGGGCAGCACGGCAGGCTAGGCAGGCCGTCCTGCAGGACCCTGGCCGCACCTCGCGCCAGTGTGCTATCACTGAAAACAAGGCGCGCCCCGCCACTGTTAAGACACACCGCCACTACAACCACTTCGCCACCGCCGCCACCGAGGCGAGCCAGCCCGCCAGCCAGCCAGCCCGCCAGCCCCAAGCGGCCGGCAAAACAAAAAACAGCGACTTGGCTGGCAACATGCAAGGGTGCGATGCCCGATGCCGTCGCTTGCTCGGTCGGCGAGCCCCTACGCGGCCGCCAGGCCGATGCCGAACAACAGTGATTTGTGTCTCTCTCGCTCGTGTGCGCGGCCTGGGGCCGGCCTGGGGGTGCGAGAGAGACAGAACTGTTCAGCCTGCTGCTCACTCGCGGCCGCACTCGTGTAACGACCCACGTTTTATGCAGACGCGGCTGTTTCTGGCAGGAATTCCAGATTTTGCGCGCGAATGCGGGTCGGAGAGGGGGTGACTGAAGAGACGGCGCCGCGCCGCTTTACACGAATTTACATATCGTTTTGTTTTTGTCGTGGCCGCCGCAACCACATTGCAAACGCGCGAGTAAGTCATCAGTCAAAGAGAGTTTGCTGCCGCAGAATTTACTGTGTTGCGAGCACACCCGAAAAGGACCTCTCTTGAACCAAGAAATTTTCAAGTACGTAAATTCACTTGTTGCACGTAAATTATTCTGGTTCAAGGAACGACTTTTGCGGGAGTAGTTGCCTTGTCGATTCGGTTCTCAGCACTTTGCGCAAGTGTCCACGGCAGTGCACCCACACTGTAACCAAGTTTACTCCGTGCCGCACTGCCGCACCATGTGGCGACTCGGAGCAAGGGGTCAGGCTTTCCCTGGAATGGCTTGGCCTGGCTTTGCCTCCGTCCGTCTGCTATTTTTCCCCCCGATATCGGAAGGGCTGGTCGCGCGTCTATCCGTCCGCCCGTCCGTCTATCTCGCTCCCTCGGCCGCTAGAAGGGAAGGACGGCGACGAGGATAGAAGATAGAACGAAGGGGATTTGGAAAGGCTTTGGTCCTCTAATCACACGGCCTTCTATCCGACCGGATTACTTAGCTGGCAGCCGCAAGAGTGCGCAATGCGCTGCCAATTCGTCCGGGGCCGCTCCCCCTCCCCCTCCCCTCCCCTCGTCCCCCTCCCCCCGCTTCCAACCCTCCACCGCGGCTGACTGGTGAGCTCACTCGGAATAACAAACCGGAGGTAAGTTTATATTAAAAACAATTTCCTTTTCTATCTGGGGGTTGGTGGGGTGGAGCGGCGCGCGAATCCGTCGGCCGGGCGCGCGCGGCGAAGAGAGAGAGAGGACGTCGAGGAAAAAAGATTTGAAAAGGGAGCATCAGGCGGCAGGCGCGGCCCTGGGGGAGGGTAAGCGAATTTACCGGGGGGAGGGGAGGGGGCTGTGGCGCTCTCGCTCGGTCTCATGCGATACGTGAGTGTGTGCTTGTGTGTGTGTGTATGTGTGTCTGTGTCTGTTTCTTAGTCTGTGTTTTATTCTTCGCTTTCAACGCTCCAAAAGCAGCATAGTTTCTCAACTTTAAAACTTGAACAGTTTCAACACTTTCTTGATTACAATTTTAAAATTTTTATCTGACGAAGATTTTGTGTTTTGCATGCTCCTCTCAGACAGTGCGATATCCTCAAAGTATGTCAGTCCGGTCCGAGGCGTGCGGGGCCTTGGCGGCCCGGCCTGGGTGGGGGTGGCGGCGGCGGCCGCTCCAGAGGCGCGTCGGCGGCGTGGCGTCGCGGCGCCGAGGTGCGAACGGGGCGGGGCCGCGCGGCGACGCCGCATCCCATTGGGCGCCGCGAGGCCGCGCGCGGCTACGCGGCGCGGCGGAGTGGGGGAAGGGAGGAGGCCGCGGGCCGCGAGGGCGACCGCGCTCAAGAGGTACTTGTGGTGCTCCGCGACCGCCGCGAGCACCGCGAGGGGTGAAATACGCACTGCAATACACCCCGCCGCCGCGGCCGCCTGTGAACTGCGTGCACACTGCAAGTTCGCCTCAAACTACCGCGATTGCCAGTGCTGTCGCTCAGTTACAGAAAGAAGTTTTTTCCAGCAGATGATACATTTATGTACTCAGACGCAAAAATAGAAAAAAGACAGGCCGCGATCGTCGCAGTGCCGCCACCGCCCAGTCAAAACGTCGTTCAATAAACCGCGTAAACCGTCTCGTGACACTGTGACACGCCGAGCGCCAAGCGGCGCAACGCGAACCGCAAAACGCCAAGCTTGTTTTCCTGCGAGGAAGCAAACAGATGAATATCAACGACCTTGTTTAGTTTAAAATGTTGTTCCGCCGGGGTTTGTAGCGTTTGTAGGGTTTGTATTGGCTGCTCGGCGGAGAAATGGAAAGTTGATAGTTGTCCACGCGTTCCGCGCGCACACACTGGCGGGGTGCCCGCCGTAGATTAGACCTATTATCTGAGCAAACATATTAGCGTAGGTGCATGTGTACTTTACCTGCACCCCTCTCTGCTGACACTAGTGTTTCGTCGCCCGGGCCGCGGCACTGTAGCACTGCCAGTCTGGTAGCCACGCCCCGCCACGCCCCGCCACGCCCCGCCACGCCCCGCCACGCCCCGCCACCCCTGCTGCAAAGCGGCAGGCCCGGGGGCAGCAAACATTTATTGAGTTATTTGCACGACGATTTGCCTGGCAACCGAATCCCCCACGCGTGACAGCCAGTGGCAACGTTTCTGTTGAAAATCATTATGTCCGGGCAACTGCAACTGACCTAATTGGCCACATATAATTTTTACTCTACAAAAAATGATGAATTAAATTAGTTTTAAAAAACAGTTGAGCGTTAGTTAGAAGATTATGAGCGGAGGGCCCGCAGTCTGCCGCGCCGCGCCGCGCCGCGCCGCGCCGTGCCGCGCGCCGCACCATGAATCGGGGCGGCTGCGGGGGCTCGGGTTGCGCGCGCGTCGTATGACCTCGACACCCAGCTCTCTAGTACTCAAGAAGTGCGTCTCTCGCGTTGCGCGTCGTCACGAGGCGCTGCTAGCACGCATCGCGTAGCTGCCCACCTCGCCCATTCCCTTGCCGAGACGCCACGTCCCGCCGCGCCCCGCCACGCCCCGCAGCAGTCTACACACACACGCACTTGAGCCTTGAGTGCGTAGAACGCGTAGTGCAGCGCCCCCCGAACCCCTGCCCCTCTCGAGAAGCGGCGCGGCAGGCGCAACTCTTGCTTATCTATCTTGAGGTCGGGTGCGGGTGGCGCGCCGGCCGGCCGGCCCCGCTTGGAGATGTGGCTGACACGCCGCAGGCCGCAAGGCGCATTGCCCTAGTACCGAACACAACTTTTACGGGTATTGAGTATTTATGTGATTAGCCACCAAATTGTGCATCCTCGCGTTGAAACAACGAAAATGATACCCAACACAAGTGGTATCGGACATATGAGTGTCCCACCGTCATTGCGAACATGTTTAACGCAAAACAATGGCACGTTAGGATATTCAAAAGTTATACTAAAATTGACATTTTCATGAATTACCATGTGTAGGAAATTTGTCAAAAAAAGAGTTCCGAGTGTTTACTCTTTGAAAGAAAGAGACAAAATGTCACATTCATACATTTCAATAAACATTCTCATAAGTATCATCTGCTTTCACGTTAGCGTTAGCGTTAACGTTTTTTTTTTTCAAAATCAACTTTTTAACTTTTTGGCAGTGTACTCCTGAAAAACTCCGGCGCGCAAGGGGGGAACGCGGCATTTTTTTTTCGCTCTGCTTTTTTTCCGGCAGCGAAGCGGCGCGACTCAAAGCAGCCATCACGCTTCTCGCCTGAGCCGCCCGACCGCAGAGTGAATCCAACTTCATCCCCAAAGCTCATCCTCCCCCCTCCATCCCTCTCCCCTCCCCCACCCCTTTCTCGCTCGCCTTCCGTTAAATTCTCACCATCTATACGACGCCGGCTTCGTTCTCTGAGGCTTTCGGCCCGCTTTCCCGGTTTTCCGCCAGCCCCCGGCGTCGCCCTCCCGTGCCTGGAATCGAATCGGAGGCCCCCAGCCGACGCTCCAGCAGCCGAGCCACCGCGAAAAATGCTTGACCAGAGGGAGGATTCGAACCTCGCTCCGGCACGTTTTCCACACGCGTGTGCAGGAAAAACAAAAGCGACGCGATTAGCCGAACGCTGCCACGTGCGCTCCACTCCACCGTAAGTCTGCTCCAACCGCCTTTCCCTGGACTGCTGTGCTGCTCGCTGCCTGTCACGCGTATCCCTAAGTCAACACAGCCGCGCTCAGCGTCTCATTCACCTTCGGCCCTGCGGGGCCCCGAAGCCCCGCGCCTCGGAGACCTTCCAGCCGGCGACGTCGTCACGTCTCGTGTGTCACAGCAGCACGGCAGTCTTGGAGGTGGTCCGGAGGCGCGGCGCCAGGTCCGCGGACGTCTCTGTGGAGTCGCGCAGGACAGACAGCAGGGCGCGGTCTTGTGGAGCTGCGGCGATGGGAGTACTGCGACAAGGCAAGCGCCGCGGCCTCGTCCTGGGCGCGGCGCTGAGGGTCTTCGCCTTCCCCGCACGGCCTCACGTGCCCGCTCGTAATTAGGCGCAAATCATGCTGTTGGTTTTTCTCGCCCTTGGAAAGCCGCCCCGCGTCCCTCCGAGTCCCTCCGGGTCCAGGACGAGCAGGCGGAGGTGGGGGGTGGCCGGGGGTGGCGGGGACGTCGGCCGGCCGGGGGCGGGGCCGAGCGCGGGGTGGGGCGGCCCTACGGTGGGGTGGGGGTCGCGGCCGACCAATGGCGGCGCTCGGCGCGGAGCTTCCCCGCTCGGGGCCGCTCGGCTCGGCCGACGCCCGAGCGGCCGACGGTGCGAGCCCCCTCGCAGCCAGGCTTGTTTTCACTGGATTGTGAGTCTTTGTAGCGAAAGGAAACAAACCCGGTCGGGGCTGGTCGGTGCACGGGCACGGCCTTCGTGACGTCGCGAGCGCAGTGGCAGTGCAGGGCGCCGTGCTGCAGCCGCGCAGGAGTCGGCCCGAGTGTCGGCCGAGTGGTGAACCAGTGCAGTGCAGTGTTGTGTTGTGATGAAGATGAGTTAGTGCCGCGCTCCACCATGCAGACCCTGTTCGGCGACCAGAACGTTTACTACCGCATGTCTGGCCACCAGGGCATGTCCGGCATGGGCGTGGGCGGCATCTCGGTGTCCGGGGCCATCGGCTCCTACCCGTACGACCAGTACACGCGGTACGGGTACTCGGGGTACCCGCAGCAGATGCCGCACAAGGACATGGTGAAGCCGCCCTACTCGTACATCGCGCTCATCGCCATGGCCATCCAGCACCAGCCCGAGAAGCGCATCACCCTCAACGGCATCTACCAGTTCATCATGGAGCGCTTCCCGTACTACCGCGACAACAAGCAGGGCTGGCAGAACTCGATCCGGCACAACCTGAGCCTCAACGAGTGCTTCGTGAAGGTGCCGCGCGACGACAAGAAGCCCGGCAAGGGCAGCTACTGGGCGCTGGACCCGGACTCGTACAACATGTTCGACAACGGCTCGTACCTGCGCCGCCGCCGGCGGTTCAAGAAGAAGGACGCCCTCAAGGAGAAGGAGGAGGCGCTCAAGCGGCAGATGCAGGTGGGCGGGGCGCCGCCGCAGCAGCAGCAGCCCGTCAAGCAGGACAAGGAGGACAAGCTGGCCAGCAAGGACTGCAAGCCGCTCAAGCGGGAGCCGCTGTCGTCCTCCGGGGACCACCTGAGCGCCTGCAAGTACCTGCACCAGGACGTCAAGCCGCCGCCCGCCATCCTGGCCGACGTGCAGCAGGCGCCGCAGCACGCGCTGGACCCCGCGGCCCTGGACGGCGGGCCGGGCGGGCCGGGCGGCGCGGCCGCGGGGGTCATCGTGGGCCCCGGCTTCGACACGCTGAGCGCCACGCCGCAGCCCGGCTACGCGCGCTACCCGTACCACTGCGCGCAGTACCAGCACCCCGCCGCGCACCCCGCCGCGCACCACCACCAGCAGGTACTCCACCAGCAGCAGGAGGACGTGCTGGGCCAGCAGCAATTCGCGCGCCACGCGCACGCCTGGTACACGCCCGTCACGCCGCCGGAGGCCGCCGCCTCGCCGGACACCGCGTCCATGTACGACGGCCACAACCCGAGCTGCCAGCTCGGCGTCGGCCACCAGGGCCACCAGACGCCGCACCCGCACTCGCACCCGGTGTCCCACCACCAGCACCACCAGCAGCACGTGTACTACCAGCAGGACTGCGGCACCGCCAAGTACTAGGCCAACTCTCGGCTTTTCTCGCTGTCGCGCGGCCATCGTCCGCGATGTGCGAAAAGGTTACCTCTGGAAAGTCGGTGGACGCGGATCTTTGAACTCATTCATTCCAAAAAACGTCGCGGCAATATTATCACGAGGGTTGTTGTTGTTATTGTTTTATCCAGTGAATCTCACCAAAGTGCAGTGTTGTTGATGTTCTTGTTGTTACGGGGGAGGCGTTAATCAAAGCTCGCAAATTGTTTTTGCTTTTCTGGATTGAGTGTACCTTAATTTTCAACGAACCGTACTTATTGAAAATATCTCCAATGTTTACATTTTTTCAGTCTTTGTGCACCCTTTGTTTTTTGGGTCCACCTGTGACAGTTGTCTCTTGAGTTCGAAAAATGATGCTAGTGTCGTGTGAGCCTGTTGAGCCACTGTATCTCTGAGTCACGAAAAAGACTGTCAAACGATTCAAGTAATTCAACAATTGGGTCAGTCTGAGCTCCTGGAATTAAAGTGCATTTTCTGTTGTTATCTCCTTTTCGCTGGCTTTCCACAGCGGTGTAGCTAGGCTGCAGTCGCTCTTATTGTGATAAAACGGAGTGGGGGTTTGTGTGTCCTCGTCTCTCTTTTGACGCCAACGATTAAATGCTCGATTTGTTTGGAAAGATTTTGCGCCAAAACTTTCAGAACTTGAGAACATCGCGAATTTGTACCGCGATTCGAAAGTGTCGCTTCATTTCCTCCGTACCCGATTCAAGATCTTTCCGAACAAATGCGCAGGACTGTTGCATTTAATTTGCGTCGTTTTTAATTGTTAAGCTTTCTTAATCAACTATTAGTTTATTTGGTCTCGACCGCAATATTAACGCGAGTTGGGTGAAACCTGTGATTTCAGTTGTCTAGAATTTGAATTTCTAGGTAACATATAAGATAGTATTTATGTGTGAGAGTAAGTATAGATAATTTATATATGGGGAATGACCAGTGACTTGTGGGGTTTTATGTATAAACTGATAATGGAAGATGATTAATTTTCACCTGTAGGGATCATTCTTTCTTTTGCCTCAATGGGAAAAAAATACCTGATTGTTATAACTGTCATAGCTGTGTATATAAGAATGTGTGAACAGTTTTAGATACAAAAAATAATGAGAAAATATATTCATTGTATTTCAAATATGTGTACATTTAAAAAACCATCCATCGGTTAGTCACAAATCACACTTTTTTTTTTGCATCATCACGAAGAACGAAAGCTGACCAAAACTTCCAAGGGAGATATTGTCTGGGGCCACCTGAAAAGTGTGCCAATGTTCGCACGACTAACTATTTACGCTTTGGGTGGCATGCGCTCTCGCTCGCTCTCGCTCGCTCCGCCGGGGCTGTGCGTGTTTATCTTTGTGGTTTCCTTCTTTAACAAAACACGCTGAACGCGGGGCACGCCGTGGAGCACGCGGAGTCGATGTTTACAAAGGGCGTCTCAGCCTGCGGCCTGCGCACACGCCAGCTATTATAAAGGCGGCGGGGCTTTTTGGCTCGGCCTGTACTCACTCAGTTTAACTTTTGATTCCGCGTCGCTTCTTATGGGAGCCTCGCGAGGCGGGCCGAACTATAGTGTAGGTACAACATGTTCAAGTTTCAAGTTAGGGGTTCAACTAGCAGCCTTGGGGTGGCTTCACCCACTCCGCTGCGTCCGACCCGAAACCGCGCAAACGTCTCCACGACTCGAAACCTGAATCAGGCCCCGCGGCCGACTCTCTCCATGCCAGAGAGTCCTGAAATAGATCATCGTTTTCCCGTAAGTTGGCCGAAGTTGGGTCTACATCGGGCCTGGGAATAGTGTTACGAGGTGAAAAGTGCCTCGGGGGCCGTCATCGCGTTGGAGAGCGGCGCGCGCCGCGCCCCCTGCCGGGTGACAGACTAACTGCGGTATAAACGCTCGGTTTAGCCGGCTAGGGTTGTACCGACGCTCGGTTTTTAGGGACAATTAGGCAGTATTGACTGCTCGAGCTGCTTCTCGACTTCTTTATCTTCCAGTGGCGGCGCTAATCTGCCGGAGTTTTCTTTCATTGGCGGGGAATGAATTAACGAAGGAAAGAAAAACGCAAACTGCTCCTCAACTTTGCCCGCTGATCTGATTACCGCAAAGTGTTGTTCTTTTTAATCTGCGGGCCGCGGGAGGTGGGCGTCGGCGCCGCAAACTCAATCCTTCGGGGAACTCTTCTCGCTGTGTGCCCCAAAGTGTTTACCCCGATTCGCCTCGCTACGGCTTCTCTCCCACAGTGTGATAGTACGGCTTGGGGCCTGTATTCCATCATCGCTGGGAGGGAAAGGTGCGGAGAGACTGGGCGGTGCTCCCGGGTCTCTAGGCGCGCCATGCACCCGGCTGCATGCACCCCAGAGATGCATCAGATGCAACTGCGGCGCGAGCAAGCCAAGCAAGTGTCACGCTGACAGCTGCAGGCTCGTCGGACACGGCCGGCGAGGCTTCGCGCTTCGCGGGGTGGCCGCTGCTGCCAGCCGCCATCTGCGTCGTGAATTGCGAGCAACTCGGATTTTACTCAAGTGACACGACCCACTAACTCGCACACTGCGCAGAAATTTGTAGTCCCTTTCTGACAGAATCAGTACAGAGCATGACATTTTCATCCCTTTCAAATGATGGCAGTTTAATCACAAATTGATGACATTTTCATCATGGGTGCGACAGTAATGTCATCAAATTTCGATGTTCTCGTGAGCGAAAATTAGCCTTGAAATTGTCATAAAAAAGGCAGCCGAAATTTTCACAGTAAAGCTGCGCGGCGAAGAAAAAATCAGTGCTGGTGACAGGAGCGACCGTTCTTTTTTTTTTGATGAGATTTTTTTTTTTTGAGGGTAGCGCTGCGTTTTCTGCAGGTGAGAGACGTACGAGTCCCCGGGGAGCCATCGCCAGCCATCGCCAGCCATCGCGCTACCCGCGGAAGGGGAGCGGTGCCGGCGGCCGAGGGGCCTGCCTACTCTGCCTGCTGGTGTTTACGGACTGCAGGACAGCTACATTGTGCCGCACCGCGTGCGTACAACAGGCGAGATTCAAATACACACAGCCGAAAAACCGTTTCTTGAAATCTCGCACTCGTCCGGAGGGGAAAAACTGTGAAACAAACTACAGAAAGTTTTCACAGCAACAAAAAAATTGCGACATATGTGGCGCGAAACAGCCGGCGCGACACTGTCGGCGGGGCGCTTTGACGGCGTGCTCGGCGTGCTCCGCGTTCCTGGCGGCATTCCGGTGACGTCGCCGTGACGTCACCGTCACCACACCGTGATTGCGGGCAATTAGCGCGAGCACTTTACAAACACAACGCGGGACCGCTTGGTTGGCAGCACGTGCGCGGCGCGCGCGGCGGGCCGAGCGTCGTTCTGTCTCTCTCGCACTCGTGGGGCGTTCCGGGCAGGTGTGAGGGAGACAGAGCGACGACTGCCAGTCAGTCTGCAGTGGCGGCGGGGACGCGCCGGGACGCGGCGGGGACGCCCTGCTGCGCGTCCGCGAGCCCCCTTCCTGTCTGTCCGCCCTCGGTCTGTCTGTCCGTCGGTCCGTCTGTCGATATGCAAGCCCGGGGCGTCGATTACCGACTGCGGCGCTGCATGTGCAGGCGGCCACCACACTGCCAGCACTGCCAGTGGGCGTCCAGCGCGGCGCGCGCATCGCCACTTCGGCCCATTTGAATATCCCGCGCCCCGGGGCGTCTTTGGCTGGCCGGCCAGCGCGTCGCACCGGACACCGCGCACCGGCCGCCGCGACACCTCCGGCTGTCTCTCTCTCTCTCGCACCCTGCGGCAGACCCACGAGTACGAGAGAGACAGATTGACGAAAACGACCGACCCCGATCGAGTATAGTTTTTCATTTCCTGGAAAGGAGCGCGGCACACCGTCAGTCGCTGTCTGTCTCTCTCGCACCCTCGCGTGACGCCCCGCGAGCGCGAGAGAGAGAGAGAGACATCGCCGCTCGAATCAGCCCGCTAGCCGCGCGTTACGCCTCGTTACGGCAGAAGCAAGCGGCAGCAAGCCACCACGGTGTTTGTTTGGATGTGGCCGCCCCTCCCCCTCCCCCCACACGCTGCAACATGTTAATGTTATTCCTGTGACTGCCGGTCCAGACCACCACACCCACCCCCCTGCGCCGCCCCTGCGCCCCTACGTACGGTGGCACAAAATACGGAAAGAAAAAAAAGCTGCACCGGCCGGGAGTCGAACCCGGGATCCATGTCGTGCGGGGCGACCCCGCTGACCACGCGGCCACCACGCGCGCACGCTGCACGGGTGTCACGACGCGCGGGGGGAATAATGGATGTCCCGCGTCTCGTTCGGACATGGCGATTCTCTGTCGGCGCGCTGCTGCGGGTCATGAGGCGGTTGACGTCGCCGTCACCCGTCATCGCCGTCCTGGTGGCGGCCGGGGCCGCGGGGCCGGGGAAAGTCGGGGGGGAGGCGAAATTAAGTGACGAAACGGCGCGACGCCTCCTTATGACAGATGAAAGGGGGCAGACGTCTTTGACTGGCGGCAGGCCGAGGCAGGCGAGGCAGGCGTGCAAACGTGGCGGAGCAGCATAAACCCGCGCAGCGCCAGCGCGCAGCACACACGTAAACGCGGCAAATTTGGCGTGCCTGCTCCGCCTGCGCCGCGCGCCGCCCAAACGAAGCGAGCAGCGGCAGCGAAGAAACTCGCACAAAAAAGAGCGGAGGAAAAAGAGAACCACGCACAATTACCGCCAAGTCGAGAAAAATTCCCGACTGAAAAACAATTTGTTTTCACATATTTTTTCCGGCGTAGCGGCAGCAACGCCCTCAGGACTGCCGAGCGTGAAGATGAAGGTCCTGCCGGTGGACCGCGCCGTCTTCGGGGAAGAACGCCTGCCTTGAGCGCAGGCGCCCAGCCGTGCTGCACAGCCCAGGGGCGGGGGCGGGGGGCTGGAAAGGGGGCGGCGGGGGCGGCAAGCGTAGGGGACTTCATCGCCACGTCCAGCGAGCCGATAGTTTGTCTGCGCCGACGACGGAGTTCTGTCAAGGACGCAAAGCTCGTCCTGTCCGACGACGCTTCCGGCTGCTGCTGGCGCTGGATATGGCCGCTGCCGCCGTGGCCCGCGCGTGGCCAGAATAGATTTTCCAGGAATCGGAGGCCGCCCCCCCCCCCCCCCCCGCCCCACCCCGCCCTGGAGCGCGCTGTGCCCTTCGATCCGCGGTGTACGGTGTAGGCCCCGGGGCGAGGCCGAGGCGCAGCGGCGCAGCCCCCAATAAAGCCGTTCACGGAACCGGGCGTTAACAAATCCGTTCATAAAACGGACTTTCCCCGGCGTGCCGTTTCACAGTCCTTCTCCGAATGGAATCGGTTTTCAAGGTTCGGTCGATTGTTTACGCGGCAGACGCGTAACTTCTCTACAATCCTGTCATAATTTAGACCAGACTGAAAATGAGCGTCGGCATTTTGAACGCCACCCTTTGCCCGTGAAAAGAGGAGAAAATTTAATTGAGTCTCGTTTTTGAATGATGCAGGCGGCCTTGGTGGCGGCTGCAGCACTGCGAGGCGGGCGATGCCGTGCTGTGGTTTGAATTGCGATAATGCCATGGCTCCATTAGCATATCAAACATTGTGTCACTTCTCGCTTTGCTCGCCCGCTCGCCCAGACCGGGGAGGCGGTGGCGGGGCCATGGAGGAGGGAGGGGGAGAGAGAGAGAGAGAGAGAGAGAGAGAGAGAGAGAGAGAGAGAGAGAGAGAGAGAGAGAGAGAGAACAAATTACTTTTGTCTATCCGCACAGCCACACGCTCGACACAGTGTATTATTGCTGCAGGCGTGAGAACGGGACGAGCCGCGCCTCCCCTTGTCCCTCCCTCTCTCTCTCTCACTCTCTCGCTCCCCTTAAAACTCCCTCTCGCTCTCACTCTTTGCCTCCCCGCCCCCGACCACTCGAACGCAAATTGGACACATCTCGCCGAACCCGGTTTCGAGTACCGGTCGGAGAGCTCGTCGGCGTGGCGCTGTCGCCGGCGTTGCTGGCGTTGTGGTTGGCTCGGCTGCAATGGACGGCTGCGAGGCTGACACCCCGGTATTGATCTGCACCCGGTTCCAGCGCCCCAGC